AATAAACATTACTCTTAACTAATAGAAATCACTCACAACTAATAGACATCACTCTCAACTAATAGACATCACTCTCAACTAATAGACATCAGCTATAATTAATATACATCAATCTCAACTAACAGACATCGGCTATAACTGATAAACACACTAAAACTAATAGACATCACTCACAGCTAATAGACATTACTCTCAGCTAATAGACATCACTCTCAGCTAATAGACATCACTCACAGCTAATAGACATCACTCTCAACTAATAGAAATCAATCTCAACTAATAGACATCACTCACAGCTAAAAGACATCACTCACAGCTAATAGACATCACTCACAACTAATAGAAATCAATCTCAACTAATAGACATCACTTTGAGCTAATAGACATCACTCATAGCTAATAGACATCACTCACAGATAATAGACATCACTCACAGCTAATAGACATCACTCTAAACTAATAGACATCACTCTCAGCTAGTAGACATCACTCACAGCTAATAGACATCACTCTCAGCTAATAGACATCACTCTCAGCTAATAGACATCACTCTCAGCTAATAGACATCCCTCACAGCTAATAGACATCACTCACAGCTAATAGACATTACTCACAGCTAATAGACATCACTCACAGATAATAGACATCACTCACAGCTAATAGACATCACTCACAGCTAATAGACATCACTCACAGATAATAGACATCACTCACAGCTAATAGACATCACTCTCAGCTAATAGACATCACTCACAGCTAATAGACATCACTCTCAGCTAATAGACATCACTCTCAGCTAATAGACATCACTCTCAGCTAATAGACATCACTCACAACTAATAGACATCACTCACAGCTAATAGACATTACTCACAGCTAATAGAAATCACTCACAGATAATAGACATCACTCAGCTAATAGACATCACTCTAAACTAATAGACATCACTCTCAGCTAATAGACATCACTCACAGCTAATAGACATCACTCTCAACTAATAGACCTCAATCTCAACTAATAGACATCAGTTATAACTAATAAACACACTAAAACTAATAGACATCACTCACAACTAATAAACATCACTCAAAGCTAATAGACATTACTCTTAACTAATAGACATTACTCACAACTAATAGCCATCACTCTCAACTAATAGACATCACTCACAACTAATAGACATCAGTTATAACTAATAGACATCACTCTCAACTAATACACATCACTCTCAACTAATAGACATCAATCTCAACTAACAGACATCAGCTATAACTGATACACACACTAAAATTAATAGACATCACTCTCAACTAATAGACATCAGCTATAATTAATAGACATCAATCTCAACTAACAGACATCGTCTATATCTGAGAAACACACTAAAACTAATAGACATCACTCTCAGCTAATAGACATCACTCTCAGCAAATAGACATCACTCAAAGCTAAATGACATCACTTAAAGCTAAATGACATCACTCACAGCTAATAGACATCACTCACAGATAATAGACATCACTCTAAACTAATAGACATCACTCTCAGCTAATAGACATCCCTCACAGCTAATAGACATCACTCTTAGCTAATAGACATCACTCACAGCTAATAGATATCACTTTCAACTAATTGACATCAATCTCAACTAAAAGACATCAGTTTTAACTAATAAACACACTAAAACTAATAGACGTCACTCACAACTAATAGACATACCTCACAGCTAATAGACATCACTCACAGATAATAGACATCACTCACAGCTAATAGCCCTCACTCTAAACTAATAGACATCACTCTCAGCTATAAGACATCACTCACGGCTAATAGACATCACTCTCAGCTAATAGAAATTACTCTCAGCTAATAGACATCACTCACAGCTAATAGACATAACTCTCAACTAATAGACATCAATCTTAACTATATAGACATCAGTTATAACTAAAAAATACACTAAAACTAATAGAATTCATTCACAACTAATAGACATACCTCACAGCTAATAGACATCACTCACAGATAATAGACATAACTCACAGCTAATAGACATCACTCACAGATAATAGACATCACTCACAGCTAATAGACATCACTCATAGATAATAGACATCACTTTCAGCTAATAGACATCACTCTTAGCTAATAGACATCACTCACAGCTAATAGAAATCACTCTCAACTAATAGACATCAATCTTAACTATATAGACATCAGTTATAACTAATAAACACACTAAAACTAATAGACATAACTCACAACTAATAGACATAACTAACAGCTAATAGACATCACTCACAGCTAATCGACATCACTTTCAACTAATAGACATCACTTTCAACTAATAGACATCACTCACAACTAATAGACATCAGTTATAACTAATAGACATCACTCTAAACTAATAGACATCAATCTCAAGTAACAGACATCAGCTATAACTGATAAACACACTAAAACTAATAGACATCACTCTCAACTAATAGACATCACTCACAACTAATAGACAAAAGTTATAACTAATAAACTCACTAAAACTAATAGACATCACTCTCAACTAATAGACATCACTCACAGCTAATAGACATTACTCACAGCTAATAGACTTCACTCACAGATTATAGACATCACTCACAGATAATAGACATCACTCACAGCTAATATACATCACTCTAAACTAATAGACATCACTCTCAGCTAATAGACATCACTCACAGCTAATAGACATCACTCTCAACTAATAGACATCACTCTCAACTAATAGACATCTGCTATAACTAATAGACATAAATCTCAACTAACAGACATCAGCTATAACTGATAAACACACTAAAACTAATAGACATCACTCTCAACTAATAGACATCACTCTCAACTAATAGACATCAGCTATAACTAATAGACATCAATCTCAACTAACAGACATCGGCTATAACTGATAAACACACTAAAACTAATAGACATAACTCTCAGCTAATAGACATCACTCACAGCTAATAGACATCACTCACAACTAATAAACATCACTCTCAACTAATAGACATCACTCTGAACTAATAGACTTTACTCTTAACTAAAAGGCATCACTAAAGGAAATCCGCGATTTTCCCAACTTCCGCGAGTCCAACTATAGAGTCATTACATCGTACTTATTATGGACATTACGAAAGGTCATCTAACAAGCTAAGACCAAGGAATAAACCGAAATTATTGAATTCTTTTAGTAATCAAACTACCATGGGGATACATCTTTGGGTGAATTAATTATACATTATTTTTTTTGCTTTGCATTTTTACGAGGTAAACTGTGTAGAATATATTTACTGCGGAAAGCCAAAATTTATGTCTATTTTATATTCAAACTAGACAGATATTACCCGCTGCCCGCGGGTCTTAACTTGTGTATTGCTGAAGTAGTCACTGATAAAGTGCATTAGAAACAATTAAAGAAAATAATAATGTTATAAGTAAAGCGAATGAATGAAACACTTTAAAAAAATAATTATGACCTGATAGGCAACAAGATCTATCTAGATGCGTGAAAACTGTAGCTTAAATCAGGAGGCAAGCGTATCTCCTGGACCTCATGCCTACAACTAACCTTTTGTAATATGACGTTTTCGGTGATCCGACACTCATTCGGTACCATAGCTGTCGGACTACCAAGAGTCAAGTATACAGATAAATGTTGAAACTAAGGGTCGAAATTTCTGGGGGCTTTCCTGTAAATCGACACCTATTAGATATTAATACTACATCAGCATTCAAGTTTTTCACAGGCTGTTACATTGAACTAAGGGATTCATTTGATTAGCCACAATAGTTTGGACACTTCTTTTCAATGTTTTTTTCCCCACGTTGACTCACGTATATGCCAGTTCTGTCAAGTACAGACATAGTGCACCAGAAGGAAAAGGTGACTTTCCCTAGCAGTCGACTTGAAGCAAGTGTTACACAGTTAGACTATCCGTGACAAGCCAACAAACAAGTCACCCTTGTTTACAGTTGTAGGAAACTTGAACATAAAAAGGAAAGACAACTGCGGAGTCCCGGTATGTCATGGCATGTGAGTGAGTGTGTCTGTGTGTGTGCTTGTGTGTGTGTGTGTGTGTGTGTGTGTAAGTCTGTGACAAGAGGTAATGTATGTTTGTTGTTCTATAGCCTCCACTGATTAATTGGTAACGTGGGACTTTAGATGCGTGCGATTCCAATTCCTGCTTTTATTTAAAGTTAAAACGATTCTGGAAACAAAAATCAAATTTGCAAATTATTTTCTTATAGCTATGGCCATAATAGTGCAGACTTCCGTGCTTGTAAGGAATCGCAATAATATACGTTTTATTTGAAACAATTAACCAAAATATTTATTTTGTACTTGAAAATTTAATTTTTCGAAAAAGAGAGATCTGAAGCTACAATGTTCTCGTAACTTGCTCTCTATTCTTATGTAGAGAACAATTGAACTTTTTTTTTTTAAATTTGTAATAATTACTTAACCCTATTACACTCTCTAGAACTAATGACACATTTTAAAAACATTTGCCTTTAAGAACGATACCAAGCCAAAGAAGGTTCTAACAGGAATCGAGTATAAAATGAAATCATTGTAAGAATGACGGCTGAGACACATACCAACTAGATCTAGACTGAGGTCACCAGGTCTCCTCGTTATTTTTATTATCTAACATTTTTTAAAATATTATGTAATTTTATTTTATCATAACATATCATTAAGGAATTTTTGTCCAGTCGGTCTATTTAAAAAAAAGTAGGTTTACTCACTATATTATGTTGACTTTAAGTCTGTATAGCTACATACTAAGTTAAAACAAACATTTCTTAAGCTCCACCCCCCCCCCCCTTTCCCCCAACCCCCATAATTTTGTGTTGTGGTCAAGGGAAAAGTTGCTAATTAATTACAGCTGTTGTCTGTGGAACTCTATATAAAGAACATAACTCAGAGGTTTAAAGTAAAGTTTTTCTAACTTGTCATACCATTCGCTGAAGCGTCAAGAGAGTCTGTAAGTAGAACATCTATTTTCTAAAAACTGTTTGGCGTCATCCCAATTCTTTGTTTAGTGATTTATTATGGAGAAATTTTACCTTTTTAAATTCCAATTATTAAAAGATTAAGTGCAGCAAGGTTTAATTAACTAGATGTAGATCTGGATTGATAAATGCACTGTGCATACTTACAGAGTAAATCTCTCTCTTGAGTTCAAAGAAGACATCACTTGAAATGATGTTCTCTTGGCCGCAAACGTTTTTTGTTTGTTCTTTAGACGTACAGCAGTTATTGAAATGTAGACACATCTTGAGACGGTCTTCTTCCTAGTGCATTCAGACGTAAAGCTCTTTATTGAAAAGTGACATAGAAGAATCATTTTTCCAATACATCTATTCAATTCGTTGCTTCAGTGGAAACAAAAACTTGGGTGGAAACTTCTTGGTGGGTCGACGCGATTCTCGAAAACGGCTCCTAACGCTTTTCCTAGAAATTTGACAGTTGCTGTATATTGTTGGGAAAGGAAATAAAAGCTCGTTGGCTAGTCTGGGAGAAAAATCTAGTTTGACCGTTATATATTTTCAAAGTAAAAAAAGAAATACATTTAAATTTGGCTGGAGAACGAGAAAATAAAAAACGGACTATATATATCTTCGGGTATTTCCGTATTACATTGCAAGATTTTAATAAATTAACTTTCAGGAACATTTTGCGCATCGTCTTCTAAATCTAGATCTAATGGGGACTATCACTGGAATATTATAAAGTCTAGTAGATCTATACTTTCACTTAACCAGGATACTTTCTCATGGGGGTGGGTGGGTGGTGGGGAGGGTGAGAATGGATTAAAAATGTCCTATTTTAAAATCTTACATTCATTCATTATTATGAGAAAAAAATCGCTCTATATGTTATATAAGTCATTATTATATGTTTTTCTTGTTAGTTTTTAAAATCATATTTTAATGCTGTTTTTTTTTTTTTTTTTTTTTTTTTTGTCGAATTTAATTTCTGGCTGACGTGAAGGCCAGTTCAATCTGTGTTCTGTCTTAGACAAACTCTCATTTTTAGCCTTCAGTGTGTTGTGAAGGTAAATAGGATTTCACAAATACAAAAACCATGAATGTCACAAAACTTTTGCTCATAATCCATATGTCACCACTACTCATGATCTTTATAATGTCCACATTGCTCATGATCTTTATAATGTCACCATTACTCAGAGACTGCTTTAGATTATTAGAATGGTTTTAAATGGTATTATGTGTCTAAAGGATTTATAACAAAAAATACTGTTGAAATTAAAGTTTTTAAGTCAATCAACATATTTATTCCGACGCTTCGAAAGTTGAATGCATTGCCCTACTCTCTCTCTCCAGCACATAACAGCAGCCATGTCCAAACTACTGATCTTGTTTGTTTACTGCCTTGTCACTGCCTTCAGTCTGGTCAGCTCTCAACGTAAGTATCTCATGCCTTATTAAAACAAATGGTGGCTATTGTTTTAATAACGGCACTTGGGCTTTTTTTTTAAATAGTATAAATTTCAAGAATTGAAATCTTAAATATGGTTAGGAGTAGAAGATGACAAAGTGGGGAGAACCAAGACTTCGTATTCTTAACTCGTATGTAATTAATGTTATATTAATGTAATATTAATGAACGTTATTCCAAGTCTTGAAATGCTGAGTTGCTGTTGTAGTAGTAGGAGATGTTTTCGTTGCAGTTGTTGTTGTAGTTTTTGATGCTGTTGTCGTTTTGACAAAGCTTGTATCAACTCCCTCTGTGTGTCGGTCTGGTCAAAAGTTTGCACACGCTTTTCTTCCATTTCCCATTCTCGGATCAAGTTAAAACTTTGCACAATAATTCATTCAATATATTGTTGGGGATTAATTATTTGTTTGATTTCGAAATAAGGGAAATAAATGCCATTTAATGAGAGATGTGAATATAAAAATATATGTATGGATTTATGAATTTAGTCCCCTTACCACATTTTGACACGTTATGTCCTCCACTTCCCATTCTCAGATCAAGTTGAAATTTTGCGATAACATTACACGAATCAATACAAAATTAACCGAATAGTTAACCATTAGTATTAATTAATTCATTTATTTTGTTTTATAAAGCAGAAAGGAAGCTAAACCCTGTAATTTTCAGACAAATGGTAGTAATTAACGGCTTATTCCCCTTAGATGAGCTTTTGGTTACATTTTTGTGTTCAAATGCTTTTTAACATTAAAATCTGACACGCTTTAAAATGAAAGTAAAAATATTTTTTTGATAATATACATTAGCACAATCGTGTCCCTTTCCTTTTCGCCCCAAACTAAAAAATTTATACTGATGTCTCTTTTAGTATTCATTTTTGCTTGTTACTTTACTTATGTTAAACTTGAGGGTCAATTTTGAATTGAAACATGCAACTGTATATTACCATTTTTAAATTACTAAAACATCGGCAAAGTAGTTACTGTCGTTATAATCTTCGTTAGTAGAGTTATTACCGCTTTGGCTTGAGGTACACTTAATATAAGTTTGTTTTTTTATACTTTTATTTATTTTACTTGTTTCTATCTTGCAGCCGTACAGGGAGGCGTCTATCCCCAGCCCCCACCTTCTCAACCTGCTGACAACACCTTGGACGACTTTTGGCGCTTGTTTAGCACATGGAAAATATTTAAACATATTGATTAGACATCACAGCACCAGCAAGCAAACGGCGTTTGGCACTTTGAAATGATCTTCGCAACAGTTGAGGCAATGTTCCAGATCTCTAGGACCATATAGAGTCTGTCACCAGACGTGCCTTTGTACTCTAATGATGGACGATGGACAGTATTTTTTTCTCTTTCGCAACAAGAATGATTTATTATTTGCATCTTTGTTGTCATTGATTTGTAATTATTATAGTAATTTATTAAACGTATATAATTTTTTGACAGTAAATAGTTCGTTCAAGTGAATTTTCTAGCACTGTAGTCTGAAATAAAAAAAGTAAAGTTTCCCCTTTTCAGACCTTTCGATCTATGGGGCAGATGATGTTAAGGTCATCTGTTTCTTTGGTTAACGGTAAACGAGCAGGGTGTCATGTGGCCAGCACAACGACCAACCGCCTTTACTTTCCTCATTAGAGTTGGGTTGACTCAGGGGAGCCCTAAAAATCCAGAAATTCAAAATCCCAGTCTTCACCGGGATATAAACCCAGAACCTCAGGTTTGGAAGCCAAACGCTTAACCATTCGACCACCGCGCCCCGTAGTCGGAAATGCTTTATCTTATCTTATAAATTACGGATTTTTTTTTTAAAAAAAAAGATGATTAAGGCCTACGCCTTATTTGCATATAAAAGTTAATTTAGTGCATGTAAATTAGATACTTAAGTGATGTTAAGTCATTGGTTTCCTGATTCAGTCAACCTAGTCCATGCTTTAATGACACTAGCAAAAAAAAAAAGGAGCACTTGTATCAATTTGTAATAGAATACGAAAAAAAAACATTTGCCTTTATGTTTGTGGTAAACACATGTTAAACTTCAACAAATTTGGTAAAGCTTCTTTTCTCATCTCATAGACGACGTAGAGCATTTTAACTACTAGTATTATTTCGTAGCCACTGAGAGCCACCAGAAACTATTTTTAGCAGCCCTTAAAGTTTGTTCGGGATTATCACAATGAATCTTAAACAACTTTCTGTAATCTTACATTCTGAGTTTCAGCATTATCTTTGACAAGATCTGTTCCATTCTTTAAGCAATACAATAGTCACAAAGAAGAAGAAGAGATGTGGAGATATGCGGGTGGGGGGAGTGATATAAGGTAACCTAAAGAGGAATAGAGATAAGGAGTAGATAGGTAGAGATTTTGGAGTACATGTATAAACTAAAGAACTCTAAATGGGTGTTGTCAATAAGATAAGATGATTAAAAACTACTTTTGTTCTACAAGCGAAAGATCCTATACTTATGCATTTCCAATAAACCAATTTTGAAACAAGAAAATAGTAAAGAAGTTCCCATTTTACGTGAACATTTTTGTATGCGGCCGAAAGTAAACAATAAAATTGCAAACAAAAACACGCAAACCAGACTTTTATGCTCTTACAGCAGACCAATGTTAATTCTATTTTCAGAAGTAAACATATTACATCAAACGTGGGCTGGAAGGAGGGCCACGTTAGTCTAGGGAGGTATGCAGGAAGTAGCAATCTTTCATTCAGACATCAGATGGGTTCAAGATTACATACTCACATAGCGATAATAGAGGGAGGGTGTTTATAGTCAAAATAGAATAACAAAAACACACATACACATTTAGTTAACATTTATGCACCCGCTAAGTATAGAGAGAAACACGAATTTTTTGAAACGCCAAGCGACACTTTTACTCACACAGCACGCAGGAGAAAATTTAATAATAGGGGGGAGATCCAAATTACATTGATTCACTAGTAGACAAACAAAACAATAACACCGAGGGTCCTGCCCCTCCTGGCAAAAGGGGGACACATGACTACTTGGGGGGGGGGGGGGGGGGGAGTCATCAGGGCTTTCGGGTTGGTAGATGCTTACAGAGAAATAGAGGTCACCGGTAGGAACACCACTTTCAAAGATAGAGCACATCCAATTGGTACACGCATAGACAGAGTGTACGCGCCAAAGACATGCAAAAGCAGCAAAGCCAAATACTAGCAACACACTCGAGTCCATTCAAAGAGAAAAAAAAAGAAGAAGATAGCCTTAAAAATTTGTGAACACAATGAAGTAGACGCAGCAACCAGAACACATACACTAACACAACTAGAAACACTACTCAACTCTCAATACAAAGGAGCGGAATTGAGGCGCAAAAGCAATAATATGACCGAAGGGCCTAACAAACTTTTTTTTATCGGCGGAACAAAACATCCAAATTAACAGAACTATCGACATAATAGATAGTAAAGGAGAAGCTACACAGGACCTAAGTAAAATAACAGACATATTTACAAAACACTTTACTAACATGTATGATAAAGAACAGACGGTTGACAAAGCACAAAAATTATTTTTACAAAACTGCAAAGAAATATCCATGACAGAACAGATTGAGACAAACGTTCCCTTTAAGATTGACGACCTGAGGGGGCTGCTTCAGACACAACCCAAAACAACAAGTCCCCTGGCCCAGACGGTCTGACATTTTAATTTTACAAAACCTTTTTTCCCCAAATAGGACTCCGTACTACTTACACTTTACAAAGAAATTCTAGAAACAGGACAGACACCCAAAAGCTTTAATCTTGCATACATCACACTATTACCAAATAAACCCGAAAACAACACAACCACTAGTGACTTTAGAGTTAGACCCATTTCCCTTTTAACCCATATCCTACTTTGTACACTGGCACGTTTTTCAAAAGCTTATATTAGAAAAAGCTATTAAAGTTTTTTCTATTTTTTCTTTTGTTTTCGTTGAAGAACATGTTTGTCTACATTTGGTCACGTGCTGTTTGACTTTTTACAGTTGCGTTTTATTATTTTATTGCGCTTGAAAGTGACAACATTGTCAAAAATAAAACCTGTTCGGAAAATGTAAGTAATAACACATTTATATAAATATTTTCAAATAAAACTACTTGATTTAGAAACATAAAGTATCCTAGTATTATAATTAATGAATAGATTTAACATTTATAGCATGGTCTTTTCAAATTTTAATTTTTTGTAACGAAGATTTCCAGTGTACATGGCAGGATAGGCCACTGTAGGAATCAATTACTGATATATGAATCGAAATAGATCAAGACTTTATTTAGAACATAGATTTGTTTGTTTTAACCAATATTATCATATATTATTGCTATACACAATAGATACCCTTATAATTGCAAATTATGGAACTAATTATGATGATTATAAGGTTATTATTTGAAAACATATAAACAATAATATAATAATTCCTTGTATATATTTTTTTTAATTGTTTTATTTTACTTCATGCATTCTCCAAGGCTCTAGTATTTTAACTGACTGCTTAGAAAAATATTTGTCCCATTAGCAAATTATAATCCTAATGATGTAAGGTTATGTGAAATAAAATTATAATAATAATTATAGATATTTATATTTTTTTAGGGTCTCAAGTAAATATTAACAGTTCACAACGTCATCATTAAGAATCAAGATGAGAACCTGATATCTAATAGTAAATAAATGAATTAGACAAAAGCATGATTGTAGTTTCAATGACATTAGAATGTTATAATTTGTTATGAGCTCCTTGTGTTATATCCAAACAGAATCTGTTTACCTCTGGGTCCTTGTGTTATATCCTAACAGAATCTGTTGACCTCTGGGTCCTTGTGTTATATCCTAACAGAATCTGTTGACCTCTGGGTCCTTGTGTTATATCCTAACAGAATCTGTTGACCTCTGGGTCCTTGTGTTATATCCTAACAGAATCTGTTGACCTCTGGGTCCTTGTGTTATATCCTAACAGAATCTGTTGACCTCTGGGTCCTTGTGTTATATCCTAACAGAATCTGTTGACCTCTGGGTCCTTGTGTTATATCCTAACAGAATCTGTTGACCTCTGGGTCCTTGTGTTATATCCTAACAGAATCTGTTGACCTCTGGGTCCTTGTGTTATATCCTAACAGAATCTGTTGACCTCTGGGTCCTTGTGTTATATCCTAACAGAATCTGTTGACCTCTGGGTCCTTGTGTTATATCCTAACAGAATCTGTTGACCTCTGGGTCCTTGTGTTATATCCTAACAGAATCTGTTGACCTCTGAGACACCGTTATGTATTATGTATACTTATTTGTACAATTTAGTCACAATGTAGTAGAGCAGAGCTCACAAGGGAATGGAGTCTATAGACTTTATCAGAGCTAATATCACAAGGGAATGGAGTCTATAGACTTTATCAGAGCTAATATCACAAGGGAATGGAGGCTATAGACTTTATCAGAGCTAATATCACAAGGGAATGGAGGCTATAGACTTTATCAGAGCTAATATCACAAGGGAATGGAGGCTATAGACTTTATCAGAGCTAATATCACAAGGGAATGGAGTCTATAGACTTTATCAGAGCTAATATCACAAGGGAATGGAGGCTATAGACTTTATCAGAGCTAATATCACAAGGGAATGGAGGCTATAGACTTTATCAGAGCTAATATCACAAGGGAATGGAGGCTATAGACTTTATCAGAGCTAATATCACAAGGGAATGGAGGCTATAGACTTTATCAGAGCTAATATCACAAGGGAATGGAGGCTATAGACTTTATCAGAGCTAATATCACAAGGGAATGGAGGCTATAGACTTTATCAGAGCTAATATCACAAGGGAATGGAGGCTATAGACTTTATCAGAGCTAATATCACAAGGGAATGGAGGCTATAGACTTTATCAGAGCTAATATCACAAGGGAATGGAGGCTATAGACTTTATCAGAGCTAATATC